AAAAAATTGTAAAGAAATATATTAAGATAATTAAAAATAACATCAAAATTTTAACAATAATATTAAAACAATAATAAAAATAACAAAATAAAATACATGAAAACTAAAAAAATAGTCATCGTAATGAAAATATTAAAGTATATGCAAAAAGATAAAAATAAAAATTATGTTAGTTTGAAAAAAAAAATGGAAGTTGTAATATATGAGATTGAGTTAAGCGATGAGCGAATTTTTAACACTAAAAAATAAACTCCAACATCAAAAAAGAAGAAGAGAAATTTGATAGAGAACCTATACTTTTAATATTTTAGGGATAACTTATAGCTTTTATAAGAAAATTGAGGTTAATTTCGTCAATATATTAAATTATATTTTAGCCTCTCTACCCTCCCCTCCAAAAAACCTCGATTCGGGGGAAACAAAAATCACTCTAGGATGGATTCTGATCTTAAGTGCTTTGTTGTCTATGAATTGAGAGAGTGAAGTTGCTTTTCCCTTTTTCTTCTTCCTTTAGAGACGATGAAATCAATGATACTTCATATCAAACTTGTGATATACCCAAAAAACTTAAAGGAGTTTCTTTATAAATAAGGCTCACCGTAGTGAACTTTGTATAAGTTAGGGAGTTCGCTAATGAAAAATATCCAGATACGAACATTATTGAAGCGAGGGAACTCACAAAGGTGAGAAACTATGACTAGCCCAGTAGCTAGAGTGTTAGAACTTATCATCATGTTTTTAATCATATAGGGTATTTGTGCCATTTGAGCAGCTAAGATTGTGGTCTCAATGAATTCATTAAAACCAATTAGCTTCTTTTGAATGATTGACTTATCATGTAACTGGCCATTGATAGGTGTTGGCAGTAATGCTTTCAATCAATTCATGCCCTTCTTCATAAGATTTAGATAACAATGCACCACCAAAAGAAGTATCCAACATGTTTCTTGATGATGGCACTAGTTCATTATAGAATGTCTCCAACTGAATACAAATTGGGATCTTGTGGTGTGGATATTACCTCATCAATTCCTTGAATATTTCTCATAGGAGAAAAATACCTAGCTAAAAAATTGTCAGCCAAGGCATTCCATGTGGCGATGGAATTAGCCTCTAAGGAATTGATCCAAACTTTTGCTATATCCCTTAAAGAATATGGAAATAGCCTCAATCAAAAAGAATAATCAGTAATCAAAGGGATTTTGAAGTTACTAACAACCTCTAGAAATTTCCTCAAATATAGATGTGGATACTTATTAGCAACTTCATTGGCCAATAGCTTATAACATTTGGAACATCATAAGTTTGAACTTAAATTGTGTCATTGTGATCTCTAGTCGTATAATTCATGTGTTCATAGCATTGGGATCAAACACAACATAATCCCTAATGTTCCTTTCTATATCATTGGCCATACCAATGATGTCATTTTCTGCCATGACTCCTTCTAGCTCTAGTTGCGGTTCTTCAAAGTGTTCTTCAAAGGCTTCAAAAAATGAGCACAAAGAGGGATTCTTGGTAAGTGACCAGTAGCTCAAAATCTTCTTATTAATTTGTATATTCTCTCAGGTTGAGGGTTTCCTCAGTATATCAGGGTCAGCAACTTGCACTTGCAATAACCACACACATGTCATATCACCAGAAGACAAAAAACTTCATAAGTTCAAATGCACTTTTCACATAATTTTTAGAGAATCAAAGTGTTATTGACATAACCTCCAATAACGATGCCAAAAACTTATTATGTTATTTATATGTTCAAGTACACACAGTCCAATAGTACCAAGTGATGTAAAAGTAAGAGTATTGATTTCCCAGAGATTGTATTAACTTAAGTTGATTCTAATTACAAATTGTGAATATTCTTGAGCAAAAGATGATAATAATGGTTGGTTGTCACAAATTTAGGTTGAGTAGTAATTATGAAGAGTAAATAAGTTAAATCAATAGTGAGATACATGTTGAGCAATGATTTATTTAATGAGTTTCATATTTTGTGTGAATGATGAGATTTATTGTAACAGATGAGGAAAAAATCGATCTAGTGATGTATGTTTACAACATCAAAGTATATGCATTAAGTTAGGGAAATAAATCTCTAAGTCTCGCAATAACATTAAAACACGTCTTGTATAACTTCTAATTTTCCATATGGTTGTAGTCCTTTATATCTAAAGTGACTAATTTAGTGAATATATCTATCCTACTATTCTCAATCACATTTACCAAGATTTACACTTGTTAAAGAATCTCTCAACATTAACAAGCTTTCACCTATTTCTAAGATGATCAGACAAAGAAACTGATATATAGCAATATTTCACATAGTAAAATGCATCACTAGAACCACACCAGCTAACACAAAATACTACTTTTTATTAAACTCCACATTGGTCAACATAAAGAGTTTAACTCATGGTGAGCAAAATAAATACTACAAATAAGTTATTAAAGTTAACATTTCTAAACACTAATGAAAAGAAAATGAAAATTTAAATGTAACACTTCTACTTCTTGAAATCTTTAATCAACAAGAGACGAATTTTATCATGCTTGGTAGCTCATCACTTCTTGAAGAAAGAAAAGACGATAGGTTCTATTCAATTTTGGTTTAGACTTCTTCTTCTCCAAATGAGATATATCTTTCTAAGTTACTTCTCAAGTATCTCAACTTCTCAACCTCCTTTTATTTTTTCAAGGTGGTTCTTTTATATCCTCCATGCTTTTAGGGTTTTTTATTTATTGGATCATAGACCTTGTGATTATCCATTGAATTGGCCCATGAAAATTAACATATCCCTTTTTTTATCCTCTCATACCAATACTGGGTATAGTACATATATAACGCATGTATGGGAAAAAGTGTCCTATGACAGACCTGGTGTGCAAAGGGATAAGTTGCACATTCATATCAACTATAGGCAAATTTTGTTGATTTGGTCTTATAATGTTCATCCTTATCAATTCAATTTTCCAGCTCCGCTAGTATTTCCATCTTCAAGCCCTTATCATGTTTTATCTAATGTAGATACTCTTCACTCCTTACAACGTCTTCTGGCTCTAAGGCCTAATGAAAAGTGAGGTTTCATTGAAGCTATATTCTTCGTGTGACAAAACTTGTCACTAGAGCATTCCTACCCAGGCAACAAACACATAAAAAAACAACAAAATAAAATCTAGTTTGCTTTATGCTAACTAAACTAAAAATATTAAAACACACTTAATTCATCCTAGTTATGATTGTTAAAACAAAATCAAATAAAGTAATAAGGGTTTAAATATCTCACAAATAATGAGTTATCAGTTCTCGTACGAAACAAGTGGCTTTCAAAATCACAATATTTTGTTCAAGTTTATTTGAAATCGAGACGCCCTATACCACAAACATCCCATGAGTGGACATCTTATTCCATAAAAGAGGATAAAAATTGGCCAAATAATTTTTTTGGATAGGATGGAAGAGTTTGTCAAGTCGAATAAAATTGAAAGAGAATGAAATCGGAAAAATTCAAAGGCGAACCACCTTTAGATGTAGATTTAGGAAATGACACATATTTTTATGCATTTTAGTTTTATCTTATAGTGCATTTTAGGTGATGAAACATTTTTTGTATGTAATATAGGATTGTTATTTTCAATAATGTAATCCTGATACATTTTGATGTGTTTTAAAATATATTTAACATTACTTGTATAAAAAAATGGACTTAAAATTTTCTTTATTAAAAAACGTGTTTTATTTTTGTGTAAAATTGTATGTCTGCAAAATCAGCTTCTGTAATGGATGACTCCAGATTTTAATATCCGAACAAACCATATTTTTGTACATGTGTTATTTCACACGTAAAATTAGGGTCACTCCGGATTTCAATCTCCGAAAAAACACTTATTTGTACCTAATTGAACTTGAATTTTAATTTCCAAAGTGACACCTAAGACATAATAGCTTTTCTTGGTTCTTATTTATCTAAAACTTATAAAAATATGTCTCATATGTAGATGTAGCTATCAAAAACACCTCATGGTGTTTTAATATTGGTATCTCGCATTTGTTTACTTCAACGATGTGATTCTTCATCTTAAATTTAGGGGTCACAAAGAACATCCCTCTTGTAGTTCTGAAATCCAAATTGAATAATCTCCCGCTCTACCTAAATTGTTGAAGGATGGTTAAGATTGAGTATCGTTCATCCTCAACTGATAACGAAAGAAAAGTGAAGTTCAACAACTTTAAGGTTAAAATAGATGAAGGTATAAGAGTTATGTGAAGTACATTTCACTGTTACGCAACAAAGAGTATGATCGAGGTGGATGCAACAGTGTCGAGATTGACCAACAAATTCTAAAGATGTTGAAACGCTCTCAATCATCTCTTGGACGTCAAATGTCATGTTAGATTTATGTTAAGAAATGTCTATATAATATTACTTATTTTTGTATATGATAACAAATATTTATGTTAATTTGTGTTTTCTTCGTCTCTTGTATGTGATTGTGAAATTGCTTCTGTTTTGTTTTTTTATATAGGGCATATTCTAGATTTTAAAATCTAGAATAACTCCTAGGATATGTTTGGGATTATGATTTTGCGATAACATTGCATATTTCGGATTTCAAAATTCAGAAACACTCGTAAACATCATTTCACATTGCATAAGAAAGACTATGTTTCAAGATTTATTGTGTATTCCAATCATGTTTGAATTTTAAAATCATAAATCTAAAAATATTTTTGAAATTTTGTTAGGGTGTGTGAATATCACATCGGATGTATTGAACAATTACCTAATCTAATCTATTTATATAATCAAGTCAATAGGGTCATTTGAGAACTCTAAAAGTAACAATTTATCATATTCAATATAAAAGTGAAAATCAAATAGAGTGAATAAAGATTCTCTTCATTTCTTAAAAAAAACATAAATACATTACTATAACTTTAGCGTGAATAAAACATATAAATGCATATATTTTAAAATTTAATGACAATAATTAAACATTTAAGATTGAATATTCATATAAACATATACATATGAATGCAAAATCTTGGGCAATGATGTGAAATATATATACTTACAAAAGAAGTAGAAAGGATATTTGAAGTTTTTTTTTGTAAGAGTTGATTGAGACACGTACATACAAATGGAGGCAACAGAAAGAAGGAGCTCCCCTTCAGTCCATGCACATGAGGGATCCATTAATGCAAAATATATATCTATTGCTTCATTCATGAATGAATGAGTCAGCAGATACAATTCAACAGCAACCATATATATCTCATGCGCATAGGCTGAAGGAAGCTCCTTCACTCTCTTTCTCTCCCAATCTCACACTTATCAATCTTCTCAGCTAGACAAATTAAGAACAAAAACCTTAGACAGATTCTGCCAGAATTCCTAAAGCTGATATGTTTTCTGTATGGATATCTAGTACTATATGTTACTAGATGAAAGAAAACGAGTGTGTTAAGATGAAGAAATGAATGCTGTATATAAAGACCACCAAAAAAGGACATGATATGCAGTAACAATTATAATGGCCAACAATGAAAATGCATTATTATTATTATTATTATTATTATTATTATTATTATTATTATTATTATTATTATTATTATTATTATTATTATTATTATTATTATTATGCTACTTTTTCTTTTCAGATCAATAGCTGAAAAATTCATATAGACATGATGGGTCAGTGTCGTGGTCAGAGTCAAAGACGGGAGGGAAAGTGAACAAAATAGTGGGGATACATAAATTTCACTCACACTAATAATATAGCAATATTTGGACACTCTCCACACATAAATAATGTAGTACCTTTCATAATGTTGATAAAAATTGCTTAACCTGTAATGTCTGTCATGGATGATCAATCAGTATACACGTGCATTTGTGTGTTCGATCCACGACAACCGTGCATGCACTTACAGCTCATCAACTTCAATTCAATTCTCATTGGGATATGATGCTCACTTACACTAACTGGTTGCACACTATAACTACATATTTCTTCACAACATTCCATGTTGGGTGTCCCAGACAGCAAACCACCAAAACTAATACTAGTACTATTGAGGATCTGACATAATCTTAAACCATAGCACCCCTCATATTCATATGTCTCGGAATGGTATATGTAATCTTTTTCTATCTGAGACTCCTATTTTTTACTCCAATAATCATATTTCCCACCTTTAATTCCATTATACCCTAATATTCTCTTATATATTCTATATTTGTTTTAAACAAAAATTAAATCACAAAAATAGAGATCTATATTCAATTAGCACGAATGCATCTCTATTTGAAAGACACACCACTCTAATAATTGACGCATTCACATATTCGCTATGTGACGTACCCGTTGATTCTAAATGGATTGTTTAATTTACATTTTTTATTAATATTTTTATTTTTATTTTTAATAATTAATTAATATATGTAACAAATTATTAATTAATAAAAATGAAAAAATTAAGTATTAATGTTATATAATTAAATTTGGATTACACATGAGAGAATTATTTTTTACATTATTGATTACAATCCTTTTGATCAAAATGGTCATTGGTTTTACACCATCGAGATTGTACATGTGGTATAGGTATCTGTTCTGGACTGGGCCCGTCCTGACCCAAGAGCAAGAATGAAGGCCCAATCTAAGCAACTCTTCAAGGAGCGTGCGCCCGAAGATTCTCGCCAGCGCGTCGGCCAGAAGCTGCAGCCGTTCCCGTCGTTGTCCGCGAATATGGTGTCCTCGACCACGTGAACTCCAGCTCGAGCCCAGCTCGAGCACCCTCCTCGTAGGGAAGACTATGACCGTTACCCCATCACCTGAACTCCGGAAAGACCGTGTCCTCGTCCCTCCTCATTTCTCGCAAAGCATCACCAGGAAGGAGACCACGTGCGGGTCTCCACTACACACGTAGAACCTGACAGTTCCTTTATTGAGCCAGTCCTGGTCGGCCCAATGAAGGGACCTTGGCCCCGCGCTGGGGGCTATAAATACCCTCTATTCCTAGAGGGTCAGGTATTCATTCTCTTACCCATACATACACTTTTTGCCTGCTCGTACCATCACTCACTTTAGCTCGGAGTGCCTTGCAGGTACCCCCCCCCCCCCATCTCACTCAACTTCCGCTCGGAGCCAGTCGTGACGGTCCGAGTCTGATCAGGTAAGATCAGTGGCGCCGTCTGTGGGAATCTAGCTTCCCCGTCTTGCAAAACCTCGAAGACCAAAGCTCAAATCACCTACTACCGTCATGGCTGACCAAGTTCGTGATGACCAAAACATCTGCGTCGTCAACACCAACAACGACCTCGCTGATAAGAATGGACTCACCGACAACACCGATAACCCCGGTCATAACACACTCCCCGGGGGAACCGCCCCCGAGCCCTCAATCCACCGCGACGGAGCTACTGCCTCATCCTCCTCAGTCCCTTCGCCGCTCGAAGAAGACAACGCAGCTCCCACAAACTATCGAGCTGCCCAATTTCAGGAAGTCCCTGTCCCCGCCGGGGCAGATGCCACAACCCGCGCGCTATTCACGGCGATCAATCAGACGAATTACCTCATCTTCGCCCAAGGGGAAATATTGAGGGCACTAGAAGACGATCGAAGACCCGCGAGGAGGCACAGGAGGCCCTAGACTCCACCTCCTCGAGTAACAGAAGTACATCTCCCATCTCCCCCGCGAAGACAATACAGAGATGCCTCTCGAAGCCCGTCCCCCTACCCTCTGGGAGACGACCCCCTTTGGAGAGGCAACCCGTCATTGAAGTCGGGGGGCGCGGCCACGCCCCCTCACGACCAGAGAGAAGACACTCTGGAGACAGACATGGAAGAATTGATCAACGAGCACCACGCTCGAGAGATGCCCAGCACGACCAGGACCGTCGGGCACGACAATATTACAGATCCCCATCCTTGTCCCCGGAGAGAAGTGACGAGGACGACCCCTGCGGTCCCCTGTCACAAGCCATTATGGAGGCGCCCATTCCCCTGGGCATGGAGAAGCCTCCACATATAAAGGAATACGACGGAGTCGTGGACCCGGTCGATCACATAGACGGGTTCGAGGCTATATTGCACTACCACAATGTCGGGGGACCCATCAAATTCCGGCTGTTCCCCACGACCCTCGGGAAGGCAGCAATGAATTGGTATAAAGGCCTCGCTCCGAGATCAATCACCTCGTGGCGAAACCTGAAGAACCAATTCATAAGTTCGTTCACGGCGTCTCGGTGACACCCAAAGACCGAGGCCGCTCTCGAGGCCATCATCCAGAGACAGGATGAAACCTTGAGAGAGTTTATTAATCGCTTCAATCGCAAAGCCATACAGGTCCCCTGCGCGGACCACATGAAAAGATACTTGTTGGAGAGGGGGCTCCTCCCCGGCACAGAATTCAGAAAGGCAGTGGGCATCGAGCCACCTAGAACATTCGATGCCCTCCTCGAGAAGGCCCGGGCGTATAAGAATTACGAGGAAAGGGAGGCGGCCAACAGAGCCCGGGACCCCAGGACTCGCGGATCCAGCAGCAACCCGCGCCAGGAAGCTGCTCCTCCTCGACGAACCGGGGAGAAAAGAAAAGAGGACAGACCCCGAGAAGTCCGAGAGCAAAGAGGACCCTCGGGGCGTTTTACCGAATACACTTTGCTCACAGCTTCCTGCGAGCGTATTTTGGCGGAGTGTGCCAGCACAGACTTTAAAGACGGAGGCGTCAAACGCCCCTGACCTGCTCCCGCCAAGCCCGGAGCAGACAAGAGCAAGTATTATCAGTACCATAGGAGCCATGGTCATCTGACTGAAGATTGCGTCCACCTCAAGGACGCCATCGAAACCCTCATCAAGGGAGGGAGGCTCACCCAATACCGGAGAAACGACGCTCCTCGTCGTGACTCCCGGGAGGCAAGAGAACCGGAGGAATACGCCCGACCATCTGACGAGTCGGCCCCCGTCCAGACCGCCTTCCCCGTCACCAGACCCGAGGACTTCTACGTCCCCGAGCACCTTCAGAAGCCGCTCACAATACACAGCAGGTGGGAATACTTTCCCTCCGCCATGGTCATCAATGGTGGAGGATTCAACGACCTGACTATCAATTCGGCTAAAAGAAAGCTGGATGAACTGGTCGACGCGACACCTCCGCAAATAGTGACCTTTGAAAGGGTAAAAGTTAGGTCGGAGCATATCACCTTTTACCTGGAAGAGCTCCCCGGAGGAGCCCCCAACGCAGTCGTTCCCCTGTTGATAAGAGCAAGAATGGCTAACTTTGATGTGCACCGCATCCTCGTCGATGAAGGAAGTTCCGTCGACGTGATGTATAGTCAATTGTTTCGGACTCTGCAGCTGGACGACTCACATCTCTCGCCATATGTAGGGTCGGACTTACAGGGCTTCAATGGCTCGACCTCCAAGCCTTGGGGATATTTCGAGCTCATGGTTACCTTCGGCGAGGGCACGGTAACAAGGCAGGTTAAAGTACGCTTCCTCGTCATCGACTGCCCATCCCTCTACAACTGCATCCTGGGGAGACCAACACTGGCAGAACTGACAGCGATACCCTCCACCGTCCACTTGAAGATGAAGTTCTACACCAAGAGGGCACGGGTAGCTACCATCCAGGGGGACCTAGTCGCTGCTCAGAGGTGTTTCAACGCCGCATCTAAGGGACGCGACACTGTCGACACCGGGAGAAGGCCCGCTAAGAGACCGGCGATGACACGACAGGAGCCCGACAAAATAGAGCCCGCCAAAGAGGAAGACCAGAGAGCTCCCCCAAAGGTCGACTCTATAGCTCTGGATACTCATTTTGACCAGGACGAACCTCCCAACGGCGAGCAAATCCCCCTCCGACCAATCCCGGACGGGGACTTTGAGCTCGTCCCCCTCGGCGCAGACCCGAGCAAGAGAGTGAAGATTGGCATCGACCTCCCCGACTTGGCGAAGAAACAAATCAAAGCTTGCTTGCGCGAGAATGCTGGCCTGTTCGCCTGGAGCGTCGCGGAGATGCCCGGACTCGACTCTGAGGTCGCCTGTCATCGTCTCGCCATAGATCCTGCCGCTAAGGCCGTAGTACAACGTAGGCGTAGGCAGTCTCCAGAGAAAACGGAGGCTGCTGAAAAAGCTGTAAAAGACCTCCTAGAGGCGAATTTTATTTTTGAAGCCCAGTATTCAACCTGGCTGTCAAACGTTGTACTAGTTAAAAAGAATAATGGAAAATGGAGGATGTGTGTTGACTATACCGATCTCAATCGGG